GCCTGCCCCACCTGCAGGTCCCGTCCCCAGACTTGCAGCCCAGCTAAGTGAGAGCAAGCACACGTTGGGCATCCACTCAGACGGGGTTCTTGTGCTGGGAGCACCGGGTGCAGGGGCCGATTCACCAGACAAGAGGAAGACGGGTTTCATGGGGCCGTGAGGGCATGGGGGAGAGGCCACATGGGCCCCAGCCGTCCACACGGACCGGCCTTTCCTGCTCTGTGGACCGCCCCGCCCCTCCAGCTCCCGCTCCTGGGCGCTCCCAGCATCAGGCTTCCCTCTTTTTTGCCCCAGAGTCGTTCTCTCTCATGACACACACTGTCCTCTCTCTGTCACAGCCGAGAGTCAGGGAGTTGACGGTCCCACCCCCACTTCTCCTCAAGGCTTGGTGTCCCGGCTCACGTGCCTTCACGGACATCCTGACTGGGTGTCCTTCCATGGGGGACAAAATCTGGCCTTCCGACTCTACCCACAGAGTGCAGACAAAGCCAGGCTATGTGACGTCTTCTCACATCAACAGGCCCGGGAATGGACCCGTCTGAGACAGAAAACCTTCAGGTGTCCCTGGGTCACCTTTCTAAGCATCCAAGCCACCTATGGATGGCATGCAGCAGGGCATATGCCAGGACACTGCTTGAAAGCCATTTCCATAACAACCATAATGTATCTCTGACGCAGACCCTTGTCCTTGCCCTCCTATAAAAGGAGCTGGCAGAGGGGCCGGCAGGTGGCGTGATGGTTGGGGCGCTGGACTCCCACATGGCTGACTGCGGTCTGAGTCCCGGACCTGGCGGCTTGCTTTCTCACTTTCCCTTTCTCTCTTTCTCTCTCCCTCTCTGGTCAAATTAAATAATAATAATAAATAAATAAAATAAAATAATCCTTAAAAAAAGGGAGATGGCAGAACACAGAACATCCCAGCATTAAAGCGTCTCCCTCGTTACCGGTTTCTGCTCAGCTGTAAGCATACTCTCTCTGCAGGTGAATGAGCCTCTGTTCACATCGGGCCCAGAGATGCACCTGGGGAAGGTGACTTCCCATTGGGAGTAAGAAGCCAGTCCTCAGGCTAGCAGGTGGTGTGGTGGCTAAGGTGCGGGACTCCCACGTGGCCAACCGCGGTTCAAGTCCTAGACCTGGCGGCTTGAAAGTCAGAGCAGATGCAGTGTGTGTGTGTGTGTGTGTGTGTGTGTGTGTGTGTGTGCCTAAAATCCGGAGAGGAGAAGGGACTGAGGGGTGGCTATGCCCCCAGGGGATGATTTCTCACTTTCCCTCTCTCTGTCTCCAGTAAATGCACACCCCCCTGCAAACCTTCCCGCTGATGGGGCACCGTGACACGCACACAGACACCACTACCATCATCCTCTCCTCTCTCTGGTCCCCATCCTAGAGGGAGAAAAAGGGGGTCCACGCGCTGGAAAAGGAGCACCGTGCTGAACGCTTGCCTTTCAGTGAGGCCGGCAGTGACAGAATTCTCAGCCTGACGCCGCTCAGGAGGCCGCAGATGTCCTGGGCTTCGCCCTCGTCGCTGAGCGTGAATCTCCTTAGCTCCACTGTGGGCTTAATGAAGTTCTCTGGGGGGGAAGGAACAGAGGGGACGGTGAGCACCTGGCCAGCCCTGTGAGCTCTGACTTTGCTCTCCGAGGTGAATCTCAGCAAGGAAGAGCAGGCAGAGGGGAGAGCTGCAGGCAGACGGGACAGCTGCAGGCAGAGGGGAGAGCAGCAGGCAGAGGGGAGAGCTGCAGGAAGAGGGGAGAGCAGCAGGCAGAGGGGAGAGCTGCAGGCAGAGGGGAGAGCTGCAGGCAGAGGGGAGAGCTGGCTCATAGCTAATCCACAATTCCTTGCTTTGAGTAAAACTGATACATGAAAATCTTAATTGACTCAACCATTTAAAAAATCACTCAGTCTTACAAAAAATCTGATTAGGAACCAGCAGTTAGCGTAATGGCTATGTCACTGGACTCCCACGTAGTGGACCTCGATTCGTGTCCCGGACCCGGTGGCTTAAAACTCACGCCGGGCGTGTGTGCGTGCGTGCCCAAGAGCCCAAGAGGAGAATGGAGGAGAAGGGATTGCGGTGTGACCATCTCCCCTGGGGGGTGATTTCTCACTTTCTGTCTCACTCTCTCTCTCTCTGTCTGGCGCGCGCACGCGCCCTATAGCAAAAAAACCTCTCCAAAAAAAAAAAAAATCTGATTCACAGTCAGATGATCAAAATGTGTGTGTATTCACATACCCACTCTCAGATACAAACCCCTTTATTTAAAAAAAATTTGCTAGAGAGTGTGTGCACTCGCCAGAGAGAGAGACAGGGAGAGTGAGAGTGCACCGCCCCTGGGGCATGGGCCCTACCAGTGTCCTCTCTCCCATCATTCCTTACGGGACCTAGGCCACGCGCAGCCTGTCTTCCAGCTGCTGGGTCCAGGGCTCCAACTGTGCAGTCAGCCACATGGCATCTGCTGTGACCACCATGCCACCGGCTGGACCAGACACAAACCCGTTTTGTACCACATGGTGACCATCACGGAGAGAAATTTTGGGGCTGGCCCTGGAGCCTGATGGTTAAGGGAGCCAGATCCCACATGGTTGACCGTGCAGTTCAAGTCCTGGCCCCGGTGGTTTAGTAAAACACACCAGGTGCCTGCGCGTGTGTGCCCCGAGTCCTGACAGGACGGAGAAGTGCAGAAGGGACTGCAGTGACCACGCCCCATGGGGGTGCTTGCTCTCTCTCTGTCTATCTCTCACTGGCGAGTATGTGTGCCCTCTGGCCATTTTAAAAAGAGAGAATTTTTTTTAAAAAAAGAATGATTTATTTATTTTACTTTATTACCTTTTGATTAATTAATTATTTGTTTCTTTTTTTTTTTTTTTTTGAGAAGTTTTCTGCTACAGGGCCTGTGTGCTTCGCAGAAAGAGAGAGAGAGATAGAGAGACAGAAAGCGAGAAATCATCCCCCAGGGGGGATGGCCATGCCGCAATCCCTTCTCCTCCATTCTCCTCTCGGGATCTTGGGCACACATGCACACGCGCACGTGCCCGGTGTGAGTTTAAGCCGCTGGGTCCGGGACCTGAACCGTGGTCGACTACATGGGAATCCAACAACATAGCCATTATGCTAACTGCTGTTCCCAATTCTTTCTTTATTTTTAAAATGTGCTATGGGGCACATGTGCTCACCAGGGAGACGGAGAGGGAGAGAGAGGGAAAGTGAGGCAGCGGGGAGCCCGTGGGGGGCGTGCAGCACAGCAGGGGAGCCCACCAGCAAGGGGTGCAAACCAGAAATCCCCATAGGGGCCTGTTCCCTCTAGCTTTAACCCTCTCCTGGCGCTCTCACCCCGCCCTCCAGGTCCCAGCCTCCCCCTGCCCTCCACCCCCTGTAGGTCTGTGTGGGGACCTTGCTGACCCTTCACTCTAAGCTAGTGATTTTCCCTCTGGAAAAGGAGAAATTTCATCTTTCTAGATAACATCTGAGTCTCCTGGTTCTGTGCCAGAGGCCCCTGCATTCTCTCCCCTTGGTCATGGGGCAAACGTTCCCGAGCCTGGCCCAGTGAGCTCCGGGCTGTGTTAGATTCTCTTCTGTTCTGGAAGGTCAGGTCCAGTTTTTCTTGCCTCCCTGACTCTCTGACCCCGCAGGAGGCAGCTCCTGAAACAGCCCAGGGCTGAGGAGGTGGGAGGAGCCCGGAGGGACTTACTGAACAGGTTTTTCCAGGTCATGTAGGTCTTCTCCTCGTAGTCCGACCTGTGGAAGGTGAGCACGCCGTGGTGGTTGAGGTTCTGGAGCAGCTCTTTACAGTAATACGGGATGCCGCCACTTGCCTCCGCCAGGTACCTGCCGTGGGGACGGGCACGAGGCAGCCGCTCACGATGGAGAACCGCCTTTCAGAAATGATTCGTGTCTTCCGCGCCACTGAGAGCCCTCGTTTCTTATTTTCCTTCTGTCTCAGTTTGTTTTCACTATTTAGGGTTGCTTCTTTCTTTCCTCTTACTTTTTGAATTACATGAAACATTTCTATCTTTCCTAAGCCAGAGCTATATACTAAGGGGCATCCTTGGCCTTCTTTCCCTTTCTCCCCACAATGGTGACAATTTGGATCATTTATAAACAAGTATGTGCTGGGACCAGCAGTTAGCATAATGGCTATGTCGCTGGACTCCCACGTAGTTGACCGCGGTTCGAGCCCTGGATCTGGTGGCTTAAACTCACACCGGGTGCATGTGCGTGCATGCCCAAGATCCCAAGAGGAGAATAGAGGAGAAGGGATTGTGGCGTGGCCATCCCCCCTGGGGGGTGATTTCTCACTTTCTGTCTCTCTGTCTCTCTCTGTCTGTCTGGCGAGCGCACGTGCCCTATAGCAAAAACCTCTCCAAAAAAAAATACAGTTATACATGTGTGTATATACACACATAGGCATATGTGCACATATATGACATACAGATGCCTGCAGCAATACATGTATATGGATGTACAGGCATATATAGGTATATATGTGTGTGTATATATACATATAGGTTATATATGTGCGTGTATGTAGACATATAGGTGTATATGTGCATGTATATACATATGGACATATAGGTATCCGTGCATGTATATGGAGATATAGATATATGTGCATATATGTGGATCTGTAGGACATGTGCACGTATATGAAGATACAGGTATATATGTGAGTGTATATGGACCAAAGTATACATATGCACATATATGGAGATATAGGTATATATGTGCATATATATGGACCTGTAGGTATATATGTGCATATATATGGAGATATAGGTATACATGTGCATGTATATGGAGATATAAGTATATATGTGCGTATATATGGAGATATAGGTATATATGTTCATGTATATGGAGATATAGGTATATATGTGCATGTATATGGAGATATAGGTATATATGTGCATGTATATGGAGATATAGGTATATATGTGCATGTATATGGAGATATAGGTATATATGTGCATGTATATGGAGATATAGGTATACATGTGCACGTATATGGAGATATAGGTATATATGTGTGTGTGTATACAGACATGTGTACATATAAGGGGTCTTCAAAGAAATCATAGAAAATTCACATTACAAAAAAATACATGGATTTAAAATTTTTGCACCAAAACAAACTTGTACTGTAACCCCCTCTGCCCATGAGCTTTCTGAAGTCCCATGTATGTGTGCACGAACATGCGTGCATACATGGAAAAAGAGCCACACATTCATCCTGGAGTGTTTAAACAGGACTTTGTCCAAGATATCCTCCTCCCGGAACAAGGCGCCCCCAATGGCCAGGACAGTCACAGACGCCATAGGGGCTGAGAACACTGCGGGGCTCAGGCCCAGGCTCCTCCCAGGAGGAACCAGCGCCAGCTCCGGAAGCACTCATGGGGAGCCAGCTATGCCCGGCAGATGAAGGCCACCAGAACACGCCCCGCCTGCCGCCACTCGCCCCTGGTGACGTGCCCACACGGCCCACACGAAGTGGGCACACCCACACAACCAGAGGGAAGGTAACCCACGAGGCACCGAATGGGAAGGTGCGACAGGGACACGGCTGGGGCGAGGTGGAAGCCCAGACACGGGCACTGCGGACGCCGGGCCGGCGCGGCCCCAGGCGTGGGAAGGGGGCTTACAAGTCCAGCTCCTTGGAGATGCCGCTCACGCTGAGGTCCAGGCAGGCTTTGCTGCGGATGTCCTTGGGCTGTATCGTCCCCAGGGCGATGTAGGTGGTGTGCCTGTTCTCTATGACGGCTCTGGCGGCTGCACACGGGGCGTGCTCGAAGGGGGAAAGGGACATGATGATGAAGATGGGAAGCGTTCGTATGACCCTCTCCATGAAGACCCAGGAGGCTGAGTCCACAAACTGGGCCTCGTCGACAATTAGTATAATCCTCTCTTCTATCACCGTCTGGACAGGCAGAGAAATGAAGAGCAGCGCGGTGAGGCTTCCGGCTTCCCTCCCTGCGTGGCCGTGCAGGCCTACCCTCACGCCCGTGTCCCTCGGGGTGGAGCCCGAGAACGTGCTAGCCCAACCGCCTTCTTCCCAGTGATTTAGTGCTGGGAGCTGCGCAATCCGGGCAGCCTCTTCCCTGGTCAAGCCGTAGCGTAACGATAACGCAGACCTGTTGACATGAACGGGGCTTTACTTCAACGTCGCGCGCGACCCGTGACCTAACAACACTCGCCAGGTGACCCGCGAGTCCTGTCGATCCACTGACAGATGCAGTCCTCCGGGGATGGCCGTCTGACGCCCGCTCAAACCCCACGTGCTCCAGGTGCGCCCTGAGACCCGCTGAGCCCAGGCAGCTGCAGGGCTGCCTCGAGCTTGCCCTGCTCCGGCTGCGTGAGCGCGGGTGTGCCCCACTTGAAAAGGCCACTGCCCGCCTCTAGGCAGGCCAAGGGACGCACTCCTCGTGGAGCAGTTACTGTGCATCTCCCGGGGGGCCCGGGTCTCGGAGACACACGTGGTCAGATGCAGAGTCCATCACCTGCAGGCAGGCCCTGGTGTCCCGGAGAAACCGCCTCCCGGCTCTCCCTACCCCCGACAGTCTGGCTGCCTTTTGGTTCCGTCTGAGCAGGGCCAGGGTTAGCCCATTCTTCCCCTCTGTGCTTTCATTATTTTAAACTGCGGGTGTCATCAGATCGCCACTGTGAGGGGCTACCCTGCCTCATGTCACAGAGACAGTCAGTCGGCTCCCTCAGCTCCTACCTTTCTTTCTTCCCTTCTTCCCTTGTGTAAGATTTCTGTCACAGGGTGCATGAGCTCTCTGGAGACAGAGAACGACAGGGAGACAAAGTGAGAAGGCGCCTGCAGGGGGCGGGCCATGCTGCAACCTTCTCCACTCTCCTCGCAGGACCTTGGGCATGCATGCACATGAGACCCGTGTGATTCTCAAGCTGCCGGGTCCGGGACTCGAACCATTTGTCAGCCACGTGGGAGTCCAGTGCCTTAACCACCAGGCCACCTGCTGGCCCTCCTTCAGCCCCTTTCTGTCGCCAGATACTCGGTCCTTCGCTGGGAACAAGTGCCTTAATGAGAAGGTGGCATCATACTGTTTGTTGTCGACTAGATTCTTTAGGAAGACGGGGCGGGTAGAAATGCGACTTTTACTCTGACATTGGCGAGACAGCGACTCATCTATGAACCAAGGAGACTAGCACAGGGACGACACCCCACGGACCCAGGACACCTGAGGCGCACCCGAGACCCTGACCAGCTGGAGGGCGGGGACGTGGTGTGGTGAGAGGTGTCTACGGTACCTGTCTCCCTGCCTCTTGCAGGCTCTCTCATGAAATAAGCAAACTTGAAATGGGTTGCTATGTCTCCTCGGCATCCGGGCTGCTCTGGGAGGTACGCGTTCCCGGCAGTCACCTGCAGGGTGCTCCAAGCACAGGGCTTATCTGGGAACCCACGGGAACAGTCCAGGAGACGAGCACCTGAACTAGGGCAGCAGGGAGGGGGTGGGGGTCCCCGAGACAGCCCCAGGTGGAAGGAGCAGGGCTTGGCAGCCTGTGAGGGACGCAGTGAAGAAGTGGGGTCACTCTCAGAAATGACTCCACCACAAACAAACCGAGGTCAGGAGCAGGGTGAGGAAGAAAATGAATTTGGCTCCATGGGACCAGCAAATGGCGTAGCAGTTATGTCACTGGACTCCCACGTGGCCGGCCATGGTTCGAATCCTGGGCCCAGCAGCTTGAAGCTCATGCTGGGAGTGTGTGCATGCGTGCCCAAGACCCTGGGAGAAGAGATCGCGGCGTGGCCATCCCTCCAGGGAGTGATCTCTCACTTTTCCTCCTACTGGATCTCTCTCTCGCTTTCTCCCTACACCCCACCCAGGGAGTGATCTCTCACTTTTCCTCTTACTGGATCTCTCTCGCTTTCTCTCTACACCCCACCCACTACTAGCACATGCACCCTAAGGCAAAAATAAAAAAAGAAAGAAATGAATTTGGCTTCAGACCCTGAAGTCTGTGAGGTGGTCAAGTCCAAGGGAGAGGCATAAAATGTTCTTGGGAACATGGTTCTGGTGCTTAGAAGAGAGGCGGGAGCTGGGGTGTCAATCGGTGATTATCAGCATGTATGGGCAGTTACTCAGAGCGCGCGCACATCGCCGTCCGTCCGTCTGCCACGAGAGAGGCAAGTGTCCCGCGTGTGCTCTGGTCATTTAGGCCGTACAGTCCCCCGCGTGAGAGAGAACAGAGGGAGTTCAGAGAGGCTAAGTCACTTGCTCCAGGCTACTCAGGCCTGGGGGCTCAAGCCACGGTAGTCTGGCCGCAGATCCTGCAGGCATGACCGCTTCAATATAGCGCATCTCCTACGGAGGCCTGGGAGAGGCTGGACTCAGCCCTCATGTTTAATGGGCTCCTTTCCGGTGGAAATTCTGAACAGACTCTCACGGAAGGGTCGGGGAGGGTGAGGCACTAGGGCGAAGGTTTCACACACTTCCAAACTTCTCGCCAACACAGCCTGCACCCCTCAAGCCACCCGGCTGTGTGACCATTGCCCCATCCCTCCGACCCACGCTTGACCACAGACGCTCGTACCTGCTCTAAGATGTTCATGAACAGTAACTCCAGTTGCTCCTGCTTCATCAAGGTGCTCATCTTGGAAACTTCACGTGAGAACGGGAACTGTAGGAAGAATTATGAGGGTACTGGGTATGGAAACAGAGCAAAAGGAACCAGCAGCTGTGTGACTTCAGGAAAATCCCTTAGCGGTCCTGTGCCCTAAAATCCTCGTGTGTTATGCGTGCGTGGCCCCTGCCAGCTCTGAGGCCGTTGCACCTACCCGAGGCAGGAGAGCCCGGACGCTGTCTGCATCAGCAGCGAGCAGAGACAGGGCAGCTGGGATGGGAAGGCAGGGACGCAGGGCGGCAGGTGCGGTTCGGACATCCCTGAGTGCGGCATCGCTAGGTCTCAGGTTTGTGGACGCACAAGCACGGGAGCCTGGGGCCCCCTCCCTCAACCTGGATACCCCGGATAAGAACAGAGGGTGAGGAAGGCCAAGAGCTCCTGGGCCTCCTGCACAAGCCGGGCCTGCGTTACCTGGACGTGGAAAATGTCGTTGAGGAGGCAGAAGAACTTCCCATCCAGCAGCGCCCGGAGCTTGTTTTGCAGTCGGGTCTGCCGCTCCCTGTAGTGTCTGCAAGTGTCCAGGCCCAGCACGCTGGCCATGAGTATCTGGACCGTGTAAAACTTCTGCTCGAGGCTGACCTTAGTCAGTGCGATAGCAATCGTCCTGTTCGTGAGGAGATCGAGAACCGGAAGATGGGGCTAGCAGGCGGCGTGGTGGTGAAGGGCACAGGACTCCCACATGGCCGACTGCGGTTCAAGTCCCAGAAATGGCAGCTTGCTTTCTCACTTTCCCTCTCTCTCTCTCTCTGTCCCTCTCTGGTCAAATTAAAATAAAATAAATAAGTAAACAAAGTTAAAATAATTCTTAAAAAAAAAAAAGAGTTGGAAGAGATTTTAAAATGTATTTTCTGGAAAGAATAAAGGCTGAAGGCACGCCCTGACACTTGTACTCAGCCGTGACGGCAGGGGACCGGGGACGGGCGCTGTTCTGTGCCCCTCGCCCCAGTCCGAGCCTGAGCCCTGATGATGTGGCCTTGCTACCACTCCTCGGGTCCTTCCCCCACGCCCAGGGTGGGCCTGGCACTCACCCATGTGACCACTGCCACGTGTCACCTTCACAGAAGCCTGGAGGCTCTGGTAGGATGCACACCCTCTGGTGTCGCCCCGTTTCCTACAGGCACAGATCCGTGCCCCTTTTGGGAACATCGAGACCCTTCCTGCCATGCTCTGCTGACAACAGGCTGGCCAGAGCTCCCTGCCCTCGCCTGGCAGCCCCTCAGCCCTGGCACCTCATCACCTCCGCGGCCGTGCAGTCGCAGCCCTGGGGTGCAGGGCAGGGCTCCACACCCACTTCCTGAGCGCCTACTCTGCTCTTCCGTAGGTCCCGGCCACGGCCCCACCACATTGCATCTCTGCTGTCCCCTTCTCCTCTCCCGAGAGTGCTCCTCGAGGGCAGGGCCAAGACGTCGTCACAGCCAGGGCCCTGGCACTTGTCATGCGTGGGCTCATGCCACCCCAATGTTTGTGTGTTAAGGTCTGAGCTCCCCAGGACCTCAGAGTCGGACCTTACTACACCAGTAACCAGGTCATACAGGGGAGGAGGGGGCCTTACGCAAAAATGTAGACACAAGAACCCACAGTGAGAACGCCAGGGACGAGACGGCAGAGACTGAGTGAGGCTCCCGCACGCCAGGGGCACCAACGATCACCAGCAGACCACCAGAAGCTGAAGAGGCTTGGAAAAATAAAAAAAAAAAAAAAAGTAAACAAAGTTAAAATAATTCTTAAAAAAAAAAAAAGAGTTGGAAGAGATTTTAAAATGTATTTTCTGGAAAGAATAAAGGCTGAAGGCACGCCCTGACACTTGTACTCAGCCGTGACGGCAGGTGACCGGGGACGGGCGCTGTTCTGTGCCCCTCGCCCCAGTCCGAGCCTGAGCCCTGATGATGTGGCCTTGCTACCACTCCTCGGGTCCTTCCCCCACGCCCAGGGTGGGCCTGGCACTCACCCATGTGACCACTGCCACGTGTCACCTTCACAGAAGCCTGGAGGCTCTGGTAGGATGCACACCCTCTGGTGTCGCCCCGTTTCCTACAGGCACAGATCCGTGCCCCTTTTGGGAACATCGAGACCCTTCCTGCCATGCTCTGCTGACAACAGGCTGGCCAGAGCTCCCTGCCCTCGCCTGGCAGCCCCTCAGCCCTGGCACCTCATCACCTCCGCGGCCGTGCAGTCGCAGCCCTGGGGTGCAGGGCAGGGCTCCACACCCACTTCCTGAGCGCCTACTCTGCTCTTCCGTAGGTCCCGGCCATGGCCCCACCACATTGCATCTCTGCTGTCCCCTCCTCCTCTCCCGAGAGTGCTCCTCAAGGGCAGGGCCAAGACGTCGTCACAGCCAGGGCCCTGGCACTTGTCATGCGTGGGCTCATGCCACCCCAATGTTTGTGTGTTAAGGTCTGAGCTCCCCAGGACCTCAGAGTCGGACCTTACTACACCAGTAACCAGGTCATACAGGGGAGGAGGGGGCCTTACGCAAAAATGTAGACACAAGAACCCACAGTGAGAACGCCAGGGACGAGACGGCAGAGACTGAGTGAGGCTCCCGCACGCCAGGGGCACCAACGATCACCAGCAGACCACCAGAAGCTGAAGAGGCTTGGAGCAGCTCCTCCTGCCTCGAGAGGGGCCAGCCCCGCTGACACCCCGCCCTGGACTCCCAGCCCGCGGGACCCAGGCGGTCTATTGCTGTTGTCTGCCGCCCGGTCAGCCCTGGAGCACCGTCACTACCTTAGCGGACCCTGGGACATGTGAGTGACTGAACGAGTGAACACGTGACGCTGTGAGCCACCCCTCAGTGACCTGAGGATGTTTTACACGGGCGTCTCTCTGGCCTGGCACGAAAGAGGCACAGACACGCATCTGAGAACACCACAGTTAACAAGCACTTCCCTGCTGCGCTAGGCCACGGGGTGCAAGGCTCTGAAACAGCATGGTCTCCGTCTAGGCCACCGTCACGGTCATCGACTCTCACACGACCCACTCCCGTCAGGCTGCTAGCTGGATTGTCCCCAAGAGAGGTTTCGTGACTTCCCTCAGGTGAAATAGAGGACCAACACAAAGCGGGTCCATTCGCTCTGTCTCCCGAGGAAAGCCCAGAGACCTTCCATTCTCTCCCCTCTCCTAGGCCTCCAGGGTGTGCACCGCTGCCTCCCTGGCCAGCAGCCAGGTGGAGGGCCGTGGCGGTCTGCAGGCCCCGCCAAGCCCGGACCCCAGCCTCTGCGCCGGTTGATCCCCATCTGTCTGTGTACTACTCAGGACGCCTTAAACCCTAAAGCCCCAGCGGGCGCTCAGTCTGGACCTGCAGGAGCCGGCTCAGCTTCTCCGCTGCTCAGTCAGCACGCTCATCTAATTACCCACTTGGCGCGGGGCACCCAGCCAGGTAGGTCGTGGCTGCTTGACATAAAGCAGCTCTAAGGTCTCTGTGTTGGCGAGGGCTGGCGAGGCCGACACTCACCTGTGGTCTTCGCCTTGGGCCAAGTACTCGATCTCCATGAGTAACTCGCTTTTCCCATATCCGTAGCGTCCCTCGTACATCAGGACGCGGCTGTGGTTATATGTCAAGAACTCCTTCATGCCATTCCGGAAGTATCTGAGCTCCCTATCACGCCCTGAGTTTTTAAAAAGGGAGCAAACTCAGTCACATAAAACAGCCTAGAGACACGAAAAGCGCGCAGCGACACCCTAAGAACGCCCTTGGGACATCCACGGCGTTATTCGTAGACTTTCTCAAGCCCGTTTGTACTTTTTTAAGGAGATTTTTGCTATAGGACAAGTGCGCTCGCCAGAGACACAGAGACAGAAAGCGAGTAATCACCCCCAACCCCTGTAGCCCCAGGGGGATGGCCACACCGCAAACCCCTCTCCTCCGTTCTCCTCTCAGGATCTTGGACACGCACGCACACGAGCCTGGCATGAGTTTGAAGCTGTCCCGTCCAGGACTCAAACCGCGGTTGACTACATGGGAGCGCAGTGACGTAACCATTACACCATCTGCTGGTCCCACCTCTTTGCACTTTAAAGTTTACAACGATCTTTCTCTAGAGCGTCCTACTTAACAGCAGGGTCCGACAGCTTGTACTCAGTTACCACGAGTTACACGGAAAGGTATTTCTATAACCTTCATTATCGCGTCCATTCAATGATGTTGTCGAAAACGGAGATTCGTGAGATTGCGCAGCCAGGAACTAAATCTAACCCTAAAGCTTGTTTGCTTGTCCTTGTTCTTTTCCTTTAAAATGTATTTCTTCCGTGAGTGAGAAAGACAGAGGCTATGAGCACTCGCAGCCAGCTCTCCGTACTACAAACTCCAGTTCCCAGCTTCAGCCACCGGATCGGGCAGACGCACGCCTGGCACAGCCAAGGAGGTCTCTGCACGAAAACCAACAGCCTTCCCAGATGGCTCTGTCTCGTAGAGCCTCGTGTGGTTTGTTTGAATTTCAATTTGCTGTAGGGCAGATATGCTCACCAGGGAGAGACCGGAAAGGAGGGAGAGACTGAGAAAGCAGCCCCTGGGTGGGCGGTCCTGCTACCATCCCTCCTCTTCTACTCTCCTCTCACGGTTTTGGACACACACACACGTGTCTGGCGTGTTTTTCAAGCCACCAGGTCCAGGACTTGAACTGTGCAGGTGGCCACGTGGGATCCAGCCACCTTAGCCATCATGCCACCTCCCCGACCCAAGCCTTGCATCTCACCCTGCACTATGCCTGGCCTCTCCTTTTTCTTTTTCCTGCAACACACGAGTAATCTGTCGGTGATCGCATCAGGGAATGCATTTATTAAAGTGAGGTCCTGTACTGCACAAGTAGGGATAAAGTATTTGACTCTGTGATGGAGGAAGCTTGCCCCGGTACGCGAGGGTTACACTATCTCGGAGCTCCCAGACGCAGGATCAGTGACAGGACAATGCGGTTTTCCCTCAAAATTACAGAGGACATCTGTCCAAGAAGTCAGCTACATTCTTCAAAAGAAATTATGGTTTGTTTTTCGTTTTCGTTTTTTTCAGATTATAAAGTTAACACATGGGCCCAGCCACAATAGCTCAGGCAGTGGTGGGAGGCCGGGCCATAGGCAGGGCATGGGGCTGTGCTCCGGTAGTCCTGGCTGGCTGGGAGGCTGGAGCAGGAGGATCAGCAATAGCAAGAGCCGTCAGTGATGCCTGTCTCTGGGGGTCAGCAGATAGCATAGCGGTTACGTCACTGGACTCCCACATGGCTGACTGTAGTTCAAGTCCCAGACCTGGTGGCTTAAAAATCACACCGGGTGCATGTGTGTGCACGTCCAAGAGGAAAGGGATTGTGGCATGGCCATTCCCCCTAGGAGGTGATTTCTCACCTTTCCTCCCACTGTCTCTGTCTTTCTCTCCCCCACTCTGCAAGAGCACACATGCCATAAGAAAAAAAACAAAACTCTTAAAAAATGCCTCTCTCTCTCTCTCTCTCTTCTTCCTGTCTCTGCTCTCTCTCTCTCTCTCATTAAAACACAAACAAGGGGAGATTAGCAAGTGGCATGGTGGTTAAGGTGTTGAACACTCCCACATGACCGACCATGGTTCAAGTCCCTGATCTGATGGCTTGCTTTCTCACTTTTCCTCTCTCTCTCTCTCTCTCTGGTCAAATTTAAATAAATGAACGAATAAATAAAATTAAGTTTTAAAAATTCTTAAAAAATAAAACAATGAAGTCTAATGCATGCTCACTACAGTAAATATGGAAAACTTTAAAAAAGAACAACATAAATCACCTGGGGTCACAGCTCGGTCACTGCTATGTTCTCTGTGTGTTTTACATGCATGTGACCTGACACTTTGGCCGCAGCCAACACAGCTCGCTTCCGAAACGTGGGTGGGCAGGAGGGACCAGCCAGCCAGCATGTCAGAGCAGGGCACGCCTTCTGCCAAGGGCAGCCCACTCTGGAGGGCCCACTCTGTTCCCTCAGATGGAGCAGACGGAACCTGGACTCGGCCAAGGTCTCTGAGGGAAACCGGGCACGCTGCACTGAGCGCGGCAGAGCCCCGGCGGGCGCCGTGCTTCCCGGGTGTGGCTCTGCGGGAGCGACTCCGCACACACATTGCCGCGTCTGCTCCCTTTCTGGAAAACGCTTTGAGCTTCGTTTTGCGAGGTGTGCTGTGTTCTTCCGGGGCCTGAGGTCCTAGGACCTCGGAAGATGAGGCTCCAAAGGCCACCTTATTTTTTATTTATTTATTTTTTTAAAGAATTATTCAGGGACCAGCAGTTAGCTTAATGGCTACGTCGCGGGACTTCGCAGTTTGAGTCCCGGACCTGGTGGCTTAACCCCACGCCGGGCGCATGAGCGTCTCCTGGGCCAGAGGGCTCCGTGCCTGCACGTGGGGCCCACCGTCATCAGCACCTCCAGCACCTCCAGCGGGCTGGCAGGAAGGCAGGCCCCGGAGGAGGCTGCCCCGGGGTTTCTCCTCCATGGTCTGCAGGAGCTTGGAATCTGGGTTTAGGTGAAGTATTCGCTTGAAGATTCCAAAAGCCCCCGCATGCAGTGAGGGGGCATTTCTGCTGCCCAAGGTGACTGCAGTTCGGGGACGTCGCCTTCTCCGGGCTCTGCTGACACCCAGATGCTGGCCTGACACCCCTCCAGGGCGTGGGCAGAGCCTCCCTCGGCTCCCTAACACGGTTCCACCAGGGCTTCCAGGGGTGCTCAGGTCCAACAGGAGGACATCAGGAGCGGACCAGAAGCGCTGCCTTCAGGACCCCAGGCCGAGGGCCTTGCCAGCTGCTCCTCTCCCGGGCGCACCCTGGCTGTGGAGGTCTGCCCTCCTGCCCTCGGTCAGCATCCTCGTGAAAGGCTCCTACCACCGAAATCATAAACGTCGCTTCTGGACTGATCGGACATCACTTCCAGACTGATCATAGACTCAAAGGTAAAGGCAAAACGAAATTTCTCCAAGAGAACTAGAAACGGAAGCACAGAGCAGGGCTGAGAGCGCGGAGCTGGGCCACGGCAGCCTGGTGCTCCCAGCTCACTGCTCATCGGGACGAGAAAGGCCAGCACAGAGAGAGAAGGGGACGCCCCGGCCCAGCAGGGGCGGCGGCCCGCTCAGAATATAGAAATAGTTCCAAAGGATCTCTAGCTATGTATATTTTAGGTTTCCGCTGGAGAAAGAAACAGTCAAAGAACTAGTGAGAAATCCCCAGGGTAGGCCATGCTGCAATCCCTTCTCCTCCATTCTCCTCCTGGGATTTTGGGCACGTGGGTGTGTGTGCCCGGCATGATTTTCAAGCTACTGGGTCCAGGACTTGAACTATAGTTGACCATGTGAGATTCTAGTGCCTTAACCACCACCCCACCTGCTGCCCCTCCAGAAGGAGGGTTGTATGTTAACAACATGACCCAGAGAACCAGCAGTTAGCGTAATGGCTATGTTGCTGGACTCCCACGTAGTCGACCACGGTTCGCGTCCTGGACCCGGTGGCTTAAAACTCACGCCGGGCGCGTGTGCGTGCGTGCCCAAGATCCCGAGAGGAGAATGGAGGAGAAGCGACTGCGGCGTGACCATCCCCCCTGGGGGGTGATTTCTCGTTTTCTATCTCTCTGTCTCTCTCTCTGTCTGTCTGGCGAGCTCACGCGCCCTATAGCGAAAACCTCTCAAAAAAAAAAAAAAAAATACGACCCAGGTGAAAACTAGCTGAAAGTTTTGTACAGACATTTTATAAAAGACCGCGTCCAGATGGCCAGTAAGCATATGGCAAAGGAGAGGAAGGCCCGCTCGTGGCATGTGGTTGAGGCAGCTGGATCCCACGTGGCCAAGTGCACCGTGAGAGTCTGGACCTGCTGTTTTCCAAGGGCATGTGCGTGTGGCCTAAATTCTCAAAAGGAGGGAGAGGGGAAGAAGGGATTAAGGAATGGTCGAGCCTCACGGGGGTGCTTTCTCGCTTTCCCTCTCTCTCCCCTGGCGAGTCCATATGCTCTCTGGCAATTTTTCTCAAAAAATCAAAAGGAGCTAAAGCACATAAAATACCACGACACTATCAACAGGATTATTAAAATGATAAAGATGGGTAAAAGTAAGTTGGCCCCAAGAAAGATGGAAGTCTTGTATCCAAAGTGTTGGAGCATGTGTTCAGGTAGGACGAGAGCGGAGAAGCCGGCCATGAACGAGGGGTGCCGCTCTAGAGTGGGTAGCAGGGCGCGCCCAGTGTCTGTTAGTTACAGGATCACTCTCGACGTGACTCAATGTAATATAAACAAGATTATGATGATATTAATTAGTTAACTTTTTAAGAAAAGAATTGCTCTTAATAGTTTCTACCAAGGCATAAGATCGTGATTAGCAAGGTGAACTGTGGTCTTCTAGATTAGATCGTATTGAATATTCCAATTATCCCTACTGTTTATGTCCTGTCATGGATTGTCATCTTTCAGGATTCTAAATCCAAAACATTCTTTTAAAAACCTATAGAACCAGGAGTTGGCATAATGGCTGTGTCACAGGACCCGTTGGCTTAAACTCACGCCAGGCACATGTGTGTGCGTGTCCAAGATTCCCCAGAGGAGAATGGAAGAGAAGAGATTGTGGTATTGCCATCCCCCGGTGGGTGATTTCTCACTTTCTGTCTCTCTGTCTCTCTGGGTCTTTCTGGTGAGTGCACGCGCCCTATTGCAAAACTCTCTCCAAAAAAAAAGTAAAATAAAAAAAGAAAGAAAAGAAAAAACCTACCACACAAGTTTCTAAATAACAAACTTTGTCAACTCTATGTTAAAAAAAAATGTTGGCAAGGGTGAGTAACGACTGGACCTCTCCTGACGCTGTTGGCTAGAATATACATAAATGCAGCGATTCGGGAACACTCTTCGGCATTGCCTACCAGCACTGCGCCTCTATCCTGACAGTCGCATCTTTGCATTGCCCCCCAACAGAAATGCATGCACACGTGTTCACCTGGAGACTGGCGCAAGAACGTTTATGGAAGTATTATTTATAATACTTCTTATATTTATAAGAATCAAAACCTGGAAGCAATCCACGTGGTGTACAACAGCAGAATGAATTGCTGTGTTCATTTATTAGAGGTTTTTGTCTTAGGGCACTCACCAGAGAGAAAGAGAGAGAGAGACAGAGACGGTGAGAGAGAAAGAGAGAACTCACCCCCAGGGGGAATGGCCACACCGCAATCCTTCTCCCCTGGGGGTTTTGGGCACACGCACGCCCAGCAGTCTGCGCCTGGAACCGCAGTCAGCCACGTGGGAGCCAGTGAGGTAACTGCAGCATGACACCATTTGCTGGCCCTGATTGCTGCATAGCGGTAACGTTGATCAAATGGAACACTACACAGTAATGACAGAGGACGGATTCCAGCTGCAGCCAACACGGACAGACTTCATGTGTGGTCGGGGGAAGAAGCATATATAGAGCATATGTAATTACACAAGTATGATTTCAACTACGCATTTCTTTAATAGTGTATATATTTCTTTCTTCCATGGGGGTGGGGGGCATTCCCACCAGGTCTTCATGCCATGGCCCCGCCCCATACTCGGCCGATCTAGACCACAGCCACGTCCCCCGGCCTGCACAGGGCGACCTCGGGCGCACACTCAGGCCTCCCCGGGCATCCAGCTGCGTTCCCACTGTGCCACCACCCGGGCCTCCAGCTGCACACACTTACAACAGGTGCACAGGGTTGAGATGTTAGGCCTCTCTGGGGAGGGACAGCTAAGACAGATCACGGGGTTCCTGCTGCTGTCCAGCTTCTCGGCCCGGGTGGCGACTCTGCCATTTCACGATCATTCATTAAGCGGCCCCTTTCCATGGGCCTACGTTTCTGCACGTTCTGCTATAGTTAGATAAAGAAGGCCCACTACCTACCCAACAAGGGGTAACTCTCATTTCTGTTGTGGATGAGGTACGCCATACCAAAGACGCTGCGGAGAAGAAGAGAGACAGATGGTGTTAGACGTAAAGCGGAGACTGGAGCAGGAGTGACGCGTGCTGGACAGCCTCCCCCTGTCTCTCCAGAGTCTGCCTGATGGAAGGGCTGCGGGACCAGGGCGGGGAGAGGCCCTGGGTAACTGAGGCCCGACGACTCGCAATGTCCAGCGCTGCTCCTGTGATCTGCACGGGCAGAAGAGACCCAGACTCTGGCTGGGGACGTGGGTGTGCTGCCACGTTCACACCCCAGGGGGCCCTGCCGCTCAGACAACGGCTCTGTCTGCTTGAGCTCACGCTGTGTCCGGCAGTTCCGCGGGCTTCCCAAAGGCCGTTACCTTCTGTCTGACAGCATTAGAAAGACTCTTGGCTCCCCTTTTCAGATGAGGAAGCTGAGGCACAGAGGGGTGAACTGCCCTAGAACCCCAACGGAAGGTGACAGGAGGTCCTGATGGCCTGTCACCCCAGGCCGGGGTGCGAACACTGGCCCCTGTGTACTCAAAGGAGCTTTGCAGTCAGGTCAGAAGGCCCCGTTCTTACCACGCCTCTCCCAGCGCATACCAAGCCGCCATGTAATAGACAGCCGATGGCAGCTCTGCTGTGGGTTTGCTGTGGGTTTGCACACGTGTGCAGGCCCGTTGGACACCCTCATGCAGACTCAGTCCTGACAGTCACGGGAGTACAGGCACGGGGCCGGGGCCGTCCGGGTCTACGCGGGGACTCCCTGCACCAACGGCCTGGCCACTTCTCCCCCCTCGTCTGTGCCCTTTGCTATTAGCTAGCAGTGTGCTCCTGCTCGGGGCACGGCCTTGCCAGTGCTGTGGGCAGTGGGGCGTGGGCAAACGGGACACAGGATGCTTCTGCCATGATAACCAGCCTGCTAGAGCACGGGGCACACACACCCAGGCAGCCCTGGTTACCTCGGACGCCGTCCCGGGTCGGAGGCCGATCGTGCTGGCCCCAAGCCTGGGAGCCAGCCAAGCCCGGCCAAGCCCGGCCACGGCCCACCGTGCCACACATCTTTGGGAGCTAAATCCGTGTTCGCCGTGTCTCCCGAGGCCGGCGCTGCACTACTGCGGCAGTTTGAAGCTTGGTGGAGTTCTTACCAGAGACACGGCCGTGGACAAGCCATTTAACGTTTCTGAGCCTCGGGTTTTAGTTCTGTGATGGAGAGGATCCCGTCTGTGGTTAATAGTAAGGGCACACTGCGGGAACAGAGGTGGCGGGGAAGGTAGGCACTGGTATCCCACGTGGCTGACCACGGCTCAAGTGCTGGTGGCTTGAAAATCACACGGGGCCATGTGAGTGTGGGCCTGTGCCCCAAATCAGAGGGGTATGGGAGAGAAGGGACTGCAGCATGGCATGCCCCCGGGGCTGATTTCTCCCTTTCCCTCTCTGTCTCTGGTGAGTATATACGCCCTATGGCAAAAAACCTAGAACACTAAAAAACCAGAGTAACCCCACACACATCGTATATTTTGAAGTGAACTGTCTTGCATATAGTAAGTGCTCAGTAAAGATGATATTCATTCACTAATATGTGCAAACAAGCACCTCATGGATGACCTGCATGTGCCCAGAACAGTGGGAACCCCGGGGTGCGGCTAACGGGACGAACCACAGCCCTGATTCTGCTACCGGAGCCTTAAAACTTAGATCCTAGCTCAGGTCTAAGAGCAGCAGTAACCACTTCTGGGGCCAGGAGGTGGCTGAGGTGCTGGACTACCACGTGGCCAACTGCGGTTCAAGTCATGGAGCTGGTGGCTTGAAAATCACTCTGGGCACATGTGTGCATACATTCCTAAAGCCATAGAGGAGGAGGGATTGCGGCATGGCCATCCCCCTGGAGGGGTGATTTCTCACTTTCCCTCTCTCTGTCTCTCTCCAGTGAGCGCATGTGCCCTATGGCAAAAGCCCTTTAAAAAAAAGGCAGGGGAGGGGGTTGCAATTTCCTGCTTTCCACATTGTTCACTCGTCATTCGCCCATTCTGTTACTCCTCGTTACTGAAGGCCAGCTGAAGGCCAAGCACTGGGGACACGAGAAGGAGCGAGAGCTCACAGGGCAGTGAGGGAAAGCACGTGTGCTCAGGAACCACAACGCAGCATGGCGGGCGCTCGGCGGGCCAGGGCTGCAGAGTCCGACCAGGAGGAGGGTGCCGCGTGAACCTGGGACACACTCACAGAGGAGGAGATCCGTGAGCTGGGTCTCAGAAACTGACTGTGGGGATCCGCAGATGGTGTAATGGCTACGTCACTGGACTCCCACATGGTTGACCATGGTTCACGTCCCGGACCCAGTAACTTGAAACTCACACTGGGCCTATGCGTGTGCCCACCCAAAATCCCAAGAGGAAAAGGGATTGCTGCGTGGTCACCCCCAATGGGGGCGATTTCTCACTTTCTATCTCTCTGTCACTCTCTGTCCCTCTAGCAACTGCATGCACTCTATAGCAAAAATCCCTCTTTAAAAACAAAAACAAAAACAGGGACCAGCAGCTAGCGTAATGGCTGGGACTGGAGACTCCCACGTAGTCGACCGCAGTTCTAGTCCCAGACCTAGTGGCTTAAACTCATGCCGGGTGTGTGTGCGTGTGTGCCCAAGATCCCAAGAGGAGAATAGAGGAGAAGGGATTGCGGCGTGGCCATCCCCCCGGGGGGTGATTTCTCGCTTTCTGACTCTCTGTCTCACTCTGTCTTTCTGGTCAGCATGCACACCCTATAGCAAAAACCTCTCAAAAAAAAAAACAAAACAAAGAAAAACCAACAACGGACTGCATTCTCCCCAGTCCACCAGTGGTGGGTACAGTGAGGACAACCCACTGAAACACCTGGGGTGCGGGCACAGGAGGTGGATTTGGGATGGCAGGTGTTCCGTTACGTCATTCCACCATGAGAATGACTGGAAGCCATCAAAGGGTTTTACGTTCCAAGGTGACACTCATAAGTCTGAGGTGAGCCTTGAGGGAATGTATTTCGTTGAAGACCTTGAAGAGGAAATACCTCATACTCCAGTAACCCTGTCCAGGCCTGGGCATACAGTCTGCACCAGCGGTGAGTACGTCGTGGTGGTGAGCAGGACTGTCCGTGTGCGAACAGCTACCCCCAGGGGGACGACTCTTACATTCTAGACCTAAAGGCGGACTGTGAGCCCCCATTAAGCTGCGGTGTCATAGAGATGGAGGGAAGGGGAAGGACCCCAAAGTCTGTGCTTTGGTTTGGAGAAAGAACAGATTTTGACTTCGTGAACTGGCTCTTAATTTCAAATGGGTGACCGGTGGCTTTGCTGCCATAATTCCACCACTTCTTTAATCCAAGATGCTTCCTAGGCAAGGCCCACACTCACACTTTCTCGTTCAGGCCCAAGCACTGGTAGATCGGCCCACAGTCTCCGACGCCTTTCATGGCTTTCTTCGGCAGCTCTTTAAAGAAGTAGGCTGGCAAGTTGCTGCCGCTGTAGGTGACGGTGTCACAGCTCACAACCCCCGGGTAGTGCATCATCATCCTGGCCGCCGTGTTGACTTTCTGACCGATGACTGTAACAGGACGGGGACAGTCAGAGGGCAGTACGGCCACGGGCTGCATGTGGGCTGGCTGTCACGGGGCCTCTCATCCTGCTCTCCATGTCTCCCGTAGCAACGCACAGTCTGGCCTTCGGACCTGCTGGCTGCAGTGGGGTGTGCAAGAGTCGGCTGAGCTAGCCACTAGCGCAGAACCCGCCTCACCCCTCACCTGAGCGGCCATACGGGTGCACTGCTCGGCCAGGGAGGGCCTCAGGCATGGAAGGGTGTTGGCAGTGGATGGCTCGAGTCTGGGCACCCTCTTATCTGCTCCCGCTGCTAGGTGGCCACGCCTAGGTTAGGCTGGGGGCTGACTCTGGGGTGAGGTGCAGCTTCCTGTCTGCGTGCTCCTGGGAAAGCAACTTCCCTCGGGGACTTCTGAAGAGCGAGTCTCCGGGGCTGATGGGGCTGTGGATTGGGGGCAGGGACAGGCGACACCCCGCAGCTCACCTCTAACTACTGAGTATAAGTCACTCGACCTCCTCATGCCTCAGTTTCCTATTCTGTCTAACGGGGATGACAGCAGAACCTACCTCGGAGGGCACTTTATGAAGAGGAGTGAACAAATACGCACTTACCACTTCCAACAGGGCCTGGCTGCTCGTAAGCCCTTGATATCACTACTGCTTAAACACTGAACGTCGCGTTAACATAAGCTTGAATACTTCCGACCAAGACATTCCTTTTTAAACTGCGCATTAACGATCGATCTGACTACGTGATCAAGCTTGCTGTCATGAGTTTCTGCCTGCCCATCACCCACTCCGACAGCTGTGTGCCCGTACCCCATCCTGCCTCACCTTCCCTACTCCACTGACTCTCCACCGTGCATTATTTTAAAGACAGTCCCAGACAGGAAGTCATTTCAGACCTAAGTGTCTCAGCATTTTAAATGTGTTATTGCTGGGGCCAGCAGGTCCTGTAGTGCTTAAGGCACTGGACTCCCACATAGTCAACCAAGGTTCGAGTCCTGGACCCAGCAGCCAGAAACTCGCGCTGGGTATATGTGCACGTGTGCCCAAAATCCCGAGAGGAGAATGGAGAAGAAGTGATTGCAATGTGGCCATCCCTCCTGGGAGGGGGTGATTTCTCTCTTTCTGTCTCTTATCTCTGGGGGGCATGTAAACAAAAGAAAAAAAAATAGATACGTGATTGCCGAACAGGTTAAACAGGAAAAGTAGAGCCATGAAGTCTGGAGATAACATCTCTTTTTTTTTTTTTTTAAAGTCTTTGCCATAGGGCACATGTACTTGACAGAGAGAGACAGGAGAAGACTGAGAGAGAAAATGAGAAAGCGTCCTTGGGGGGTGGCCATGCCACTGTCCCTTCTCTTCCATCCTCCTGAGAGTTTGGCCATGCATGCACATGCTCTCAGCATGATTTTGAAACCTCCAGAACCGGGAATTGAACCACGGTCAGCCACGTACAAGTCTAGCGCCTTAACCACTATGCCACCTGCTGGTCTCTAGATAACACCTATTTAAGATGACTCTTGAGGGACCAGCAGGTGGTGTAGTGGTTAAGGCGCTGGACACTCCCACATGGCTGACCGTGGTTCAAGTCCTGGACCTGGTGGCTTGGTTCCTCAATTTCCATCTCTCTCTTTGTCTCTCTAAGGTAAAATTAAAATAAATGACTGAATAAATGAAATTAAATATATAATTCTTTAAAAAAAAAAAAAAGATGACTCTTGAGAGTCAGTATTTTTCAGAAATGCCAATGATCCTAAGTTTATGAAGCAGCCCCAAGCTCTTCAGCAGGTCAGAGTGAGACTTTGACGTCAACAGGAAGTTCCTAGGAAAGCCCCGTCCAGGAGCAGAGCCCCTGCTTGCCTGCTCAGGGCCGCCCCAGAAACCTGAGCTCCGCAGGAGCACCGGGCTGCCCTGGGTGAAGCCGTGTGGTGGGGCCATGGCCTCGTGCTGTGGGTCGGATGTGAACCACCACTGTAAGAGAAGTGGCTTCTGCTCCTTTTGGCATTCTTATTTTCCCAGTTCAGGAGAAAGAATATTGTGCAATGTAATTCAACCTTGCATTTCCATCGCCCAGCGTCTCCGGAGTATTTGCAAGATTTATCCCACTTGATCTTCAAATGAAGGAGGACGGGTTAGCGCCCCGTTTTAGACTAGGTGACTGAGCAGCACACCTGTGTACTCGTGCCTCATGGTGTGTCCCACGATCCCGCAGAAGACGATCCCGCTGGTGACGCCGATGGATACGGTTCTGGGCGGGGAGAGGTGGAAACTGAGCACAGGTCCGGGTAGTCAGTGCCCCCCGGCCCGGCTGCCAGTCCAGGGCCAGCACACGCGGCCTGGCGGTGCAAGAGGCCAGGGCTGTTCTCAGCCCTCGTTCCTGCTCCCCACACCCACCCCCCAGCTTTCAAAAGGGTTGGGCCACCAGGTAGGATCGGGGTCGACACTCACTGGATATTTTCAGTATGCGAGCACAAGTCAAAAATGTTCATAGCACTTTGCAGCGCGTTCGTGGGCTCATCCGGCACCTTTTCCCCCGGGAAGCCGAAGACGCAAAGGAAGGAGCAGCCCTGTGGGCAGCAGCAGCCCTCAGTCCACAGCAGCTCAACCTGGCCTCTCTCCCTGACCCATGTATCAGCAGCAAACTTTTCTGAGCTCCCAGCAGCACCCGCAGCGGGGCCTGAGTCCCCAGAGGGCTGAGCTGTGCTTGGTGGCCGCGCTCTGTCCTGCCCAAGGGCTCCCGACTCAGGCTGGAAAGCGAAGGCCAGCTCTGGGCACAGGTGCGTCTGCCCTGCCTGGAAGTTTGCTGTGCGAGAGGCCAGGTGAGCTTCAACTCCCGTCGGTGGGGCGCTCAGGGTTCATTTCGGCCGAGCGCCGACGGTTACAAGCACAGACGTCTGGACGTCCTGTTTCTAGGGTCCAGTCCCCACCTCGCCACTGCGCTGGGCCACGAGCGTGAACCGGCCCGTGTTTACCTTGTCAAACATGAAGACTTTATTGATTTGGCCTCGGAAGACTTTGAGGACGGACGAGATGTGCGCGCAGGCATCCTGGATGGCCAAGCCGATGATGTCTGCTTTCTTTCGCTCTTTAAACTTCAGGTTAACGAACACGGTCGTCACTGGGCGGAGCTCAGACAGGTAACCGCGAAGCTGTTTGTCCCTGATCTGCAAGGAGAGCAGCCTTCTGGGTAGCACGCGTCCTCGTCCTTGGAGAGGGTCCTTCCCCACCCCGCCTCGCCCTTGTCCCAATGGGGCCCTCCTCAAAATAATCACTGGGAGGGAGGCAGCCGCTTGAGGCGCCCTGGGTCTGTGAGGCCGCGTGGCAGGCCCAGCCCCACAGTGGAGCAGAGTAACTGTGATGTCTGTCAAAGCCCTGTCACTGCGGGGCCAGCACACGCTCACTCCTTTTTTATCGTTGGCTTTTGTCATAGTGTGCGCACTCTCTAAAGAGAGAGATAAGAGGGGGAAAGTGAAAAATCACGTCGCAACCCCGTCTCCCCCATTCTCCTCTTGGGATTTTGCGTGGTTGGGCATGCACACCCCCACACACATCTGGCATGATTTTAAGCCACCAGGTCTGGGGCTTGAACTGCGGTCAGCCACGTGAGAGTCCAGTGCCCCAACCACCACGCCACCTGCATGTGCTAATTTGGGGTCAGCAGCTGCTGTGTTAGGCCGGCGCCAGCCCCATGCTGTGGGTCGGAAGTGAACTGTTCCAGTAAGAGGAACACTGCTCCTTCGGGCACGCCGGCCTTCAGAGCTCAGGAGGAGTATGGTGCATGCGCAACAGCCCACTTCAGAGCTCAGGAGGAGTGTGGCGCATGCGCACAGCCCACTTCAGAGCTCAGGAGGAGTGGGGCGCATGCGCACAGCCCACTTCAGAGTGCAGGAGGAGTGTGGCGCATGCGCACAGCCCACTTCAGAGCTCAGGAGGAGTGTGGTGCATGCGCACAGCCCAGCATCCTCCGGAGTGCGTGCGCGTCTTATCTCAGCTGATCTCAGATGGAGGAAGAGCAGCGTGAGCACCCCCGCTCCACAGTGGGTACGCAGGCACCAAGAGGTAACAGGGAGGGGAGGGAGCATGGCCCCGAGTCCCCCCACCCATCTGACCCCGGAACTCTGGGAATCCAGTGCACACCAAACCAAAGGGGGTGATCGCCCTGCGCAGTACAGACGTGTCAGCCTCCCCACCAACAGGGACAGGGACAGGGACCAGAGAGGCGCATATTCTGGGAGGAAGCGGAAGCAGGAGGGATGCCCCAGCTTCCCCGGCCTACGAGATGGCCCTTGGTTTGCATCATTTCATTCTCTTCATAAAAAGCGATGTCATGGGGAACCAGCAGTTAGCGTAATGGCTATGTCGCTGGACTCCCACGTAGTCCACCGCAGTTTGCGTCCCGGACCCGATGGCTTAAAACTCACACCGGGCGCGTGTGCGTGCGTGCCCAAGATCCCGAGAGGAGAATGTAGATTCCCAGAGGAGAATGGAGGAGAAGGCATTGTGGCATGGCCATCCTTCCTGGGGGTTGATTTCTCGCTTTCTGTCTCTATGTCTCTCTCTGTCTGTCTGGCGAGCGCATGCGCCCTATAGTGAAAACCTCTCAAAAAAAAAAAAAAAAAAAGCAATGTCATGATTTTGAACTAATCAAGATAACGATCTCCCTTGATGTGTAAATTCCAATGGAAAGTTTTCCTGTCAGCCTGTGCGTTATGAGCTCTGGCTTCGGACACGGGACCGCAGCCCCAGGTGGCCCTCTGTCCCGTCAGGGCAGGCAGTTGGGCACATGTGCGGGCTGGCCTCTCCTCGGGGCTCGCTCTTCCTGCCCACAGTCCCCTGTCGCCTGCAGAGTCCCTCCTACATCCACTCCTAGAGACCTGCTTGCAGTGGGTCTCAGCTAAAGAAGTGTCACACCCTAAGAAGTGTCACACCCTACCCCTCTTAGGGGCAAGCAGGGGGCAGAGGACGGCTTTTTCTTTTTTGAGAGACTTTTGCTAAAGGGCATGCGTGCTCTCTAGAGAGACAGAAAGCAAGAAATCACCCCCCAGGGGGGAAGGCCACACCGCAATCCCTTTTCCTCCATTCTCCTCTCGGGATTTTGGGCACGCACACACACACCTGACGTGCTCTCAAGCTGCCGGGCCTGGAACTCAGACCACAGTCAACCCCGTGGGCATCCAGCACCTCAGCCACTACGCCAGCTGCTGGCCCCAAGGGGGATGCCTTTCTTGAGTGTCCAACCTTGAGGAGCTGAACAATTCATTGTGGGCACCACAAGCAGAAGGCAGCCACCCGCGGGCCAGTCCGTCTCACCAGGATCTCCTCTGGGACACAACTGCACTTTGACGGGCTGGAGTACTCAGGTGGTGTGTGTTAGGGGTGCCGGCCTGTGCTCATGGGGCTAGGTGGAAGTGGGGAATTCACGCACTCGCTCCGCCTCTTATTCTGCAAGATCTGGGACATCTCCAGTGTCTTTCTGGGTCTCCGTTTTCTCACATATAAAATGGGATTAGAAAAAATGATCTAGAAGGACTTGGAAGAATGAAAACATGAAACAGCAAAGTGGCATGTGTGAAGTTTAAGAGATAGTTATAATGTGGGGATCAGCAGTTAGCGTGATGGCTATGTTGTTGGACTCCCATGTAGCCGACCACTGTTTGAGTCCCGGATCCGGTGGCTTAAATTCACACCGGGCACGTGTGTGTGCATGCCCAAGATCCTGAGAGGAGAATGGAGGAGAAGGGATTGGGGCATGGCCATATCCCCTGGGGGTGATTTCTCGCTTTCTGTCTCTCTGTCTGTCTCTGTCTTTCTGGTGAGCGCACGCACCCTGTAGCTAAAACCTCTCCAAAAAGAGAAAAAAAAAAAAGAGAGAAGAGAGCGAGAGAGAGATAGTTATAATTCTAATACATTCAAGAGAGCCCAGAGCCTAAAGGACAAAAAGCGAAAACTCTGGGTGGTGGAGGGAGAATATTTGAAATATTCTTATCACCTGTGGTGTTAAATCTTTTTTTAAGTTGAATTTAATTATTTAAAAAACAACTTGCTATAGAACATACGTGCTCACCAGAAAAAGAGAGAGGGACAGTGAGAAAGCAAGCTGCCAGGTCTGGGACTTGAACTGTGATCGGCCATGTGGGAGCCCAGTGCCTTCACTATGCCCCCTGCTGGCCCCAGTATTGTTAAAATCTTACAAATTAAGATCTCACGCAAGTGACTTAGAGAGACGGCAGACTAGCACTCACCTACTTGGCACCTTTCTGCTGTGTGGCGTGTCTAACAGCGAGGGAGGCCGTGTGTTCCTGCCCCTGATCATAGCCCCTCTGCCTGGCCGTGTAAGGCCACACAGCCTTAAAGGTAGGCCTCCTGTCTCAGTGAAATGGCGAGTAACCCTCCTTTAACTCTCGAATGTACCCCATTCAAACAGTACACTTTTTAGTGACCTACACATGGGAGTCTTTGATCTCAATGGGACATGTAACTAGCTGCCAGTTTGTTTTCTAACTTTTCCAGCTGCCCAAGGTCCCTGACACCCCAAAAGCCAAGGCCTTGGATTACGAAAATACCTGTCTCGAAATGCTCTCCATTAGATACGACTGAAGAGACAGCTCCAGGGTGGGGTCTGACCTCAGCAAGCACGCCAGCCTCAGGATGTCTGACGAGGAGGACAAGGAGGCGCTCGGTCAGGGAGGCCCGGCGCTGCAGGGCTGGAGAGAGCCACCCCGGCCTCCCCAGGGCAGCAGTCCTCACAGCACGGTCGGGACTCTGGGACCCCTGGCGGCTGGAAGGGCCTCGGGAAGTCTAGTGAGGGCTACTGAGAGGGCGCGAGTTCCCCCAGACCAGGGCAGGTACTGCAAAGCCCTGTCCTAACTGCAGAGATGTTCTAACGTGGGAGATGTTTGCCTCTAGACCTGATCTAGACTACTGCCATAGGAGATGTGGACGGACACACAGGGGGTGACAAGAGAGGAGGACAGGGACAGAGCGAAGGGGACAGTAGGGTGGAGTGAGGAGGGTGAGCCTGGCCTCAGCCTTGTCACCAGCTTGCCGTGCGATCCAGGACAAGGACAGTCCCTTCTTGGCCTGCTGTCGCCTGTCTCCACACCTGGGAAAGGGCTGCTGGGCTTTGCTCCCTAGCACCCTCCTCTACACAGGGAGAGTTCCGTGCTCCAGAACTGGCGTAAGAGGGGCAGGAACCAGCCCAGAGCATCAAAAGACGAGGGAGGGAGGAATGGTGAAAGGTTTTCAGCAGGGAATAGAATGATAATGTGAAAAGTGAGGTGAAAAATAAAAATGGGGTCTGACGGATACAAACCATGAAGCCAATTTCATCTTGGAAGTGCCCACTGACCCCCTAGTACACGAAACACGCCATGCTAGGCCCTGCACATGGGGGAAGGAGAGTAATTCGGGAGCGGGCTTTTCCCGTGAGGCACTCACTTCGCGGTGGACGTTCACATACAGCATGTATGAAAAGCTAACTGGAGCGACAGGGCAGCGAGGCCAGGCGAGCTCACAGGGCCAGAGACACCCAGAGGGTGCAGGACCCAGAGGAGGCCGTTTAACCAGAAAAGGCTTCACAGGGGAAGTGGCATTAACTGGACCTCGAATGACTTCTGGAATGTACTAGAAGGGTGGAAGAAGGCCGAGGAGGGTGTGCCAAGCAGGTTGACGCCAAGAAAGTGGAGAGTTAAGGACCACGACAACTGCGGCCTGGCCGGAGTACCCTGAGCGTGGGAGATCCAGGAGACTGAGCCTGGGCAGACGGCGGAGGGCAGTGAGTTTTGGGAGGGGAGGCTGGGCATTGCGACGGCAGCGGTTGGGGTAGGGATGCGCCTACTGTCCAGCAGAGTT